GTCGCTATGAGTCGGAAACGACTCGATGGCACATAACAACAACAACAACAACATTCCATTGATCTATGTGTCTGTCATTGTACCAGTGCCACATTGTCTTGACCATCACTACAGTGTAGTAGGATTTGAAATCAGGGAGTGAGTCGCCTCCTACCTTGTTTCTCTTTTTAAGGAGTCCTTTGCTTATTCAGGGTCTCTTTACATTCCAAATGAAATTGGAGATTGCCTTTTCCATCTCGTTGAAGAATGAGATTGGTATTTGTGTTGGGATTGCATGGAACGTGCAAATTGTCTTTCATAGTGTCATCATTTCCACAATATTGAGTCTTCCTATCCATGAGCAAGGCATATTCTTCCACTTCTCTAAGTTTCTTTTTGTTTCTTGTAGCAATGTTTTGTCATTTTCTTTGAATATATCTTTTGTGTTTCTTGTTAGATTTACTCCCAAGTATTTATTCTTGTGATTAGCTATTGGGAAAGGTATTGTTTTTCTTAGCTCCAGTTTTGTATTTTTTTTTTTGTCACTGTAGAGAAATCCAATTGATTTTTGTATGTTGATCTTGTACCCTGCCACAATCATATCATCTGCATATAGAGATAATTTTACTTTCTCTTTGTCAATTTGGATACCTCTTATTCCCTTCTCTTGCCTTATTACTATTGCTAAGACTTCCAATACTATATCGAATAGGAGAGGTGATAGTGGGTATCCTTGCCTAGTTCCTGTTCTCAAGGGGAATGCCTTTAACCTCTCTCCATTGAGAACAATGTTTGCTCTCGGGTTTGTGTATATACTTTATACATGTTGAAGAAATTCCCCTTTAATCCTCTTTTACTGAGTGTTTTAATCAGGAAAGGGTGTTGAATTTTTTCAAAGGCCTTTTTTTACATCAATTGATAGGATCATGTGGTTCTTGTTCTTTGCTTTGTTAATGTGATGAATTACATTGTTTGTTTTTCTTATGTTGAACCATCCTTGCATACCTATTTGAATTCCACTTGGTCATGGTGAATTTTTTTTTCTTTAATGTATTGTTGGATTTTATTGGCCAGGATTTTATTTAGGATTTTTGCATCTATGTTCCTGAGAGATACGGCCTATAGTTTTCTATTTTGGTGGTGTCTTTTCCTGGCTTTGGTATCAAAGATATGTTTGCTTCATAGAATGAGTCTCGGAGAATTCCATCTTTTTCTATTTTCTGAAATAGTTTATGTAGAATTGGTGACAGTTCTTCTCTGAATGTTTGATAAAATTCACTTGTAAGACCATCTGGTCCAGGGCTCTTTCTTGGCTGGAAGTTGTTGTATTACCTTTTCAGCTTCTTCCTTTGTTATAGGTCTGTTCAGGTGATCAATTTCAGTTGTCAGTTTAGGCAGATTGTGAATTTCTAAGTATTCGTCCATTTCCTCTAGGTTTTCATATTTGTTTGAGTATAGTTTTCCATAACATTTGATTGTTAGTCTTTTTATTTTACTTGGTTCTGTTGTGATGTTGTCCGTTGCATCTTTTATTTGAATTATTTGTCTTTTCCTTTGTTAGTTGTGCTAGTGGTTTGTTGAGTTTATTGACCTTTTCAAAGAACAAACTCCTAGTTTTGTTGGTGGTTTCAATTGTTTTTGTTTTCTATTTCATTTATTTCTGCACTAATTTTTATCATTTCAGTTTTTTTAGAGGGTGTTCAGTTTTCTTGCTGTTCTTTTTCAGTTTGTTGGAGATGTTGTTTGCTTATTGTTATAAATTGACCTCTGATTACTGCTTTGGCTGTTTCCCAGCTTTTTTGGTAAATAATGTTTTCATTGTCATTTGTTTCAAGAAACTTTATTTCATTTTTTATTTCTTCTTGTATACACTCATGTTAAAGCAAGGTGTTGTTCAACTTCCAAATGTTAGGTTTTTTATCTCCTTTATCCTCTTATTATTAATTTCCAATTTTGTAGCATTGTGATCTGAGAAGATGCTCTGCATTATTTCTGTTTTTTAATTCATTGATTCTTGCCTTGTGGCCCAAGTTGCCATCTATTCTGGAGAATGTTCCATGCACATTGGAGAGGAAGGTATACTGTGCCTTTTTTGAGGTGCATTAGGCTATAAATATTTTGAGACCAAGTTGGTTTATTGTGTGGTTTAATTCTTCAGCATCTCTGTCTCTGTTAAGTGTCTTTCTGGAAGTTCTATCTATTCTTGAGAGTGGTATATTGAAGTCTCCAACTATTATAGTAGTGTTGTCTAGTTCCTTTTTATGTTTTGTTAATGTTTGCTTTATATATTTTGCAGGTCTATCATTTGGTGCATAGGTATTTATTACTGTTATGTCCTCATGTTATATTGACCCTTTAAGCATTATGTAGTGACCTTTCTTGTTCTTTGTGATAGTTTTTGCTTTGAAATTTATTTTATCAGAGATTAATATTGCTACTCCTACTTTTTTCTGGTTGCCATTTGTTTGGTATATTTTATGATGGAAGAATATAGCAGCCTCTAGAAAGTTTGGCTGGCATGCATTTTATTCCTGGATTTAAAGAATAAATTACAGGAGCTGATAATCTCACACTTCTGTGACTGCAAACTAAGGATCAGATTCTAGACTTTGTTGTTATGTACCATTGAGTCCCCTGCGACTCATATCAACCCTATGTACAATAGCTCTGAAGGCTGCCCTGTCCTAAGCCAGTTTCACTGATTCTGACACACCTACTCCCATTTCCCTAGTTATTGTATCACTCTATCTCATCTGGGGTCTTTCTCTCTTGCGCTGTCCCTCCAATCTTCCAAGCATGATATGCTTCTCCAAGGATTGGTCCCTCCTGGTCACATGCCTAAAGTATGTGAGATAGAGCTTCAAAATCCTAACCTTTCCAAGGAGAAAGTTTGTTTCACTCTCTCCAAGACAGATTTGTTGGCAGTCCATGGTATGTTCAAGAATCTTCTCCAACACCACAACTCAAAGGCATCAATTCTTCTGTCATCCTTAGTCATTGTCCAGCTCTCATATGCATAGTGAGTAACTGCAAAGACCATGGCCTGGATCAGGAGCACTTTAGGCTCCATACTGACATTGTTGCTTTTCAGTACCCTGTAAAGGTCCCTGACAGCAGATTTACCTATTGTGATTCATCTTTTTATTTTCTGACTGCTGGTGCCAAGAGTGTTGATAGCAAGCTTTAATTATTAACAACCTCAATCTCTTCTCCATCCATCATGGTGCTGCCAATTGGCCCAGTGATGAGAATCTTTGTATTCTTGATGTTGAGCTTCAACCCATTTAAAAGACTACAATCCTTGTCCTTTTACATTCACTATTATATTATGATGGTGATCATTATGATGACATGGGATAGAGCATGGTTCAGATCTGCAATTCTCATATTTGATATATGAGTCATAGTTCACATGACAGCACATAAGAACATTGTATTTACTATACTTTGCTAACTTGTAGGAGTTATACTAGAAAAATCCCGTATTCTAGAACTTTTAACTTCTCGTGCTTTGTTTATTCTTTCTTATTTTCAACACAGAACTAAAAGGAAAGTGGGTTAACGGCATTATACACCCAATATGAATAAGGTCATGGTTCCCTGCAGCCACTCCAGGTCTCTCACAGTGACCAAATGGCATTTCTGAAAGACTAGTCTGGAAGTTGTAAGCAATATGGAAGCTATGGCAAAGATGATCAGTTGCCACCCAATAAATCCCAACTCATGAAATCCTCATGTGTCACAGCAGAATCATGCTAAGGGTTGACTTTTTGAAAGTAGATTGCAGGATTTTCTTTTGGGGAGCTACGGGTAGCCTCATATTTCCATAAATTGTCTAGTTTCAACCTTTTATATTACCCAAGGACTCCTGCAATGATGTTATTGTGGTTGTTATGTACCATCTAGAAGGAAGCAACTGATAGCTCACCCTCTAGATGGTTTTCAGAGGCTGTTAATAGCAAGGGAGGAGACTGCTCTTCTTTCTCTCCTGGAGTAGCAGATTAATAGATTAGAATCTTGTGTGCTTTTGAGGTGACATTGCAACTCCATACTACAAAACCACCATTGCTCCTTCTTGTAATAATCTAAAAATATCTGCAGTGCAACCTGGATGCGAAGGAAGATACTAGATCAAACAGGAAAGTGTCAGTAGGATTTGGTGACTGAAGGGGGTGTGTGTGATAATATTCTGTCCAAGCAAGATTTCATTTACCTTTTGAACGCTAAGCCATTATTACCATGTATGCATCTTTTGAGTATTATTGGAGAGAAGTTTCTTTACAAATCATAATACAATGCGTATGCAAGAAGCACCTACCTTGACTAATCAAGTTTGTTTTGGCTTGTTTTTTCTTTCAGCAAATGCACTTATTTCACCTATTTTAATGCTTTAAAAATTATATACATATGGTAGGTTGAGGAATAACTAAGAAATGAAAAAAAAACAAAAAAACCCAAAAAACAAAACACCAGAAACCCCAGTATGTTTAAACCGTATTTCCTAACATTGGTCATTTAGTAAAACCACCTCAATTTATTCCTTTGTCTCATCTGGCCTTCACCCGTTAGGCACAGTATTTGTTTTTATGGACAGTCGATTCCTTGACCTTTTTACTTGCCAAGGTTATGGAAAACCAGCTGTTACACAATGGAAGGGGCCGGAACTCACGCTTCCACACTATCAGATTCAGACGCAGTGCCGACCTCCGGACTGCAGGTCAAGGCCTGGCGGCCAGCAGGCCCACACTCCCCGGCGTTAACCAATGGCCCTCGGTCGCGGCCAGTGCGAGGCTGGCGCGCGGCCTTCGAGGCCTTGCGTGGCGGCGCACATGCCCACGCCCGCCTCCTGCGTCGGCGAGAAGAAAAGGAACCCGGACGCACAGAGGCTGACCCGGAGTCTACCCATGAGGCAGCGCGGCGGCTTCACAAGAACAACCCCCCTTCCTAAGCGCAGCTGCCTGCGCCGCAATGGGAGCCACCGCGATCGCCGCGGTGTAGTGTTTTCGTGCTCCTCCTTTTCCTCCTCCTCTTTCTCCTCCTCCTCAGGTCCCCAGTCAGGCCGATCCGCTCCGCTCTGCTCACGGTAAGCGCCCCCCGCCCCCGCCCGCCTGCTCGCCCGGCGCTGCAGCAGGCAGCGGCCCTCCCGCGCGGCTAGCGCCGCCTCGCTCCGGGGGCGGTGGGCTGGGGGTCTTGAGGCCGGAGACCCGGGAGCGCCCAGAGCGCGGGGGAGGAAAGCAGCTGCGCGTCGGCGTCCGGGCGGCCATCTTGCGCCGGCCTCGGCGTGGGAGGGATCCCCGCGCGACGCGGTATTCCGCTCGGCTGCGGCAGGCCTGGGCCGCGAAGGCCGCGGATCTTCCCTCCCCCTCATCTTCCAGGGCCTCTGCGCCTGTGCGCCCTCTTTCCGGTTATAACGCATCTTTCAGGGCAACTCCCTTGATTTTTGTTGTTGTTGTTGTTAACATTTTGTGTTGTTTGGCAGAGACCCAACCTCGAGTTCTTTCAGTCGTGGGAAAAGAGACATAGGAGGTTCTGAACTTCGAGGCAGCGGACCTCCTTCTGCCTGGTTCCCCCACCGGTCGGCCTCCTCTATGAAAGGGACTTCCCCACTCTGCCTTAGCTCCGTTTATTGTCTCCTGGAACAGGGCTTTGTGGATCACCAAGCAATGTTCTAACAGCTTTGAAGGTTTCACATAATTAAAGAATGATCTCATTCTGATTATGCCATTGTAGAGAGGAATCCTCCCTTGTACCATGTTTTTGATAACTTCGCTCGAGCAATAAAGGAACAAATAAAAGTGAAGAAGCAAGCTCCTGGAAGCACAGGTCTTGAAGAGATATTCTTTGTTTCCTTTATTATTTCAGATTGTTAGAGTGCATTTTAACACTTGGATGTCTTTTCATGGCGTTAAACAACACAACAACAATTTGAAACCAGAATTAGAGTTTTAAACCCCCAAAACCCCTCTCTTCATTTGTGAGGTGTGTGTACCAACTCAAGTGATTGTACTGTATTTGTGAAGAGACTGGGTCGCTTACAATATTGAGTTTGGGACTGTGCTCTGAAAAATATTTTAACATCAGTAAACATTTCTTTCAAATTGTATGTTAAATCCTCATTTGTTTCTCCTTTTGAAGTGGTCTGTGTTGACAGAAAACTGCTCTGTGGAGAGTACCATCTGCCTTGTAATCAGTCTTCTGCTGAGTCTAGGAGGTTCTCAGCACTGGGACCCAGATCTTCTCTACTCTCACTGTTCTTTTAATCTCTTATAAGATGAAAGTATGACTTAAGTAAGGGTGGTGATTTGAGTAAGGGTGGTGAGGGTAGTGACTAAAGCTCTACACTAATCTTGCCTCATTAACATATTGAAGTAAACATTTATAACACAAAAGACTGTCACATAACAAAAAAATAGAAGAAAACCACGCAATAATGGGACTACCCTAGCCAACTTGACATATTTTGGGAGCCACAATTCAGTCCATGGCAGTATGTTTGTCATAAAGTCAAGGACATCTTCCTACATAACTACAGAACTATTAGGGAGCTCTGGTGGCCTAATCATAAGAAGCTGCACTGCAATCCTAAGGTACAAGGTATGCATCCACCAGTTACTCTGCATGAGAAGGATGAGCAGTCTCCTCCCATGAAATTTACTGCCACTGAAAACCCACTGGAGGGTCAGTTATGGGTCAGTTCTGTCTCAACAGCACACAACAACAGCAGTGCTATAATTAAATCTAAGAAAGTTAAGACTTTCTTAGTATGAGCATGCAAATGTATTTTTCACATTTCATAGGTGGGAACCAAGATCCTATCATGCATTACATTTGTGGTAGTCTTTTCTAATTTATGGTAATTGTGATTTTTTTTAAACATCAACCTTTCAAAGAGACCATGTCAGTAATAGTTTTTCAGAATAAATCTCATACTGTATTTTAGTGTCAGTTTTCTTTGTGATGTTTAAAATGTTCCCTTGTTCAGTATATTTTCTATAAGCTTGAAATGAGGATTAATGACTTCAGTAGAATCACTCAGATATTTTGTCAAGAATTCCAGAGCACAAGGTGCTCACTAAAAAGCAAACTAGTGCCTTCATAGAGTTCATAAATTTTTAATAGATCATTTGAGTTGATCCAGTAATCCCCAAAGCTGGACAGTAAATCTGGTTACATCTCCCCCCCCCCCCCCCTTACTTCCTAGGAAAACTTTTGGGGCAGTTCATTTGTCACATAGGGTGCGGAGTTGGAATTGACTCTACAGGCACATAATGAAGCAATAATTTCTTTTAGAGAACTGCTATCTCAACCTTCCCGTTGCCTGGTTCTTGGCTTTTCTGTGTCTCCATTTTGTGCTTTTCCCTACTTAGGCTAGGCTGCCCAGTTATATACTCTTGCAGCCTGGTGGCACAAATCACCAGTGGAAGTTTTAACATATGTTAACATTTGTCCTTTTCTGCATCTCACTGCACTCTGGAAGTTTCTAGTACTTTAACAACCTCAGTCTACTGGGTTTGGTGAAGAGTTGTTGAACTCTTCATTGGAAATGATACAGTGAAACCATTATTTTAGGAAATAGTTAATGTGACGACTCCACATTGAATAAATGGAAGCAGAAATATCTGGATGCTGAGAGATGGTATAATGCAAACGATAACAAAATAGAACTAACATAGGTGTGAGATTCTAGAGTCTCGAATAGGTATAGAGTAAATGGAAAGGTTTAGGGTGACTGGGAAATATTTTGGAAGAAAATTTTTATAGGACTGTGCAATCAATTACATAGAAGCAAGAGCAAATGAGGAACACGCTGAAGAAAATTGCAGTTTCAAGATCTGAAAGATGATCTTTTAAAATTGTATAGTTCAGTGGCATTTTGTACATTTATCATGTTGTATAACTATCACCAGTCTCTAGTTTGAGAAAATTCTCATCATCTCCAAAGGAAACCCTCTAGTTCTTGGAAACTACTGATCTACTTTCTGTTTATGAAGACAGAATGACTGCCTGTTCTAGATGTTGTATATATGAAACACGATATGTATTGCATGATTCATAGACTGGTTGTGTCACAAAAGACTTGATTTCTTTCACTTAACATAATATTTTTGTGGTTCAATAATGTTTTGCCACACATTATTACTTCATTTCTTTTTAAATTGCTAGATTTTTATATTGATATTTTGTTTATATATTTATTAATTGATGGGTACATGAGTGGTTTCCAATTCTTGGCTGTTAAGAATAATACTGTAGAACTAATTTCTAGTGACCCTTTGAGTACTTGTCATTGCTGTTCTTAAGCGCCATCAAGTCAGAACCAAACTCATAGCTATCCCTCCAGCAGGTTTGCAGAGGCAGTAAATCACATGGAGAGAGATACATTCATTTTTGAAAATGTAGAGGTTCTTTTAAGATCCAGATGACAGCTTTCAACAGTTAAGAGATGAGAGATTGTAATTTAGTTGAGAAATCAATGGTAGGTTTGACTGAAAAGTGACACTAAGACTATGGAATTAATTAGATCCATGATTTAGGAACAGTTATTATAGGGTTGACACCTGTTCTTAAATTATGTAAGAAGGAAAAGAATCTGTACAAAGCTAAAAAGGAGCAGGAGAGTAGAGAAGCAGACTATTACACTAAGAAAATGACTAAGGAGGATGTTTCTCAAAAATAGGGTGTAATACCTAAAAGAAAAGCAAGAAAAATGAAAACAAAAGGTAATTTGACTTTTAATTGAGCTTTGGGGATCATTCTGCAAAATACTATGAAATAGATAATGTTGCTGCTCCACATAATTGTGCTCAGCTCAGTTTTGATTGATGGAGTAGCTGTGTGGAGTGGTAATTAGAGCAAACGGTTGCAAGCTGGATCAAGATCAATAGGGAGTGGGGATATACTGTTGTGTAGAAGAAGGTTTCTTTTTTATTTTATTGGGTTTGTTTTTTTAAAAAAATTATTTTATTTTGCTTACAAAGTTTGTATGCATTGTGTTGCACACTGTCCTTTATTCACATTGTATTTAATACAATCATTCCCGTTAATTATGTGTTACTATGCTCACCATTACCCTGTCTTTCCATATCCCTGCCAGATCTTTTCCATTTCCTTTACCCTCCAAAGTTTCCTTTTAAAAAAAAGACATTGTTGCCAAAAACCCCATATATAATACAGTGTTTACTAATTTAATACTTTACACACTATAGAATTTATTGAGATCAGTTAGACCAGTCACCTTAGGCAGCTATCACCAATGTGTGTTCCCAAGTTTTCCATCACCCTAAACAGAAACTCAATGGTTCCTAAACAGTGACCCCTCTCCCACTCCTGTAAAACACTAATAAATTTTGTTATACATTTGCTTCTAGATATTTTGTGTTATAAAATGATACTGTATTTGTCCTTTTGTAATTGACTTAATTTACTAATATTTTCAGAGTTCATCGTGTTGTAGCATGCATCAGGACTTCATTTCTCTTTATGGCTAAGTAATATTGTGTGTATAAATCAGATTTTGTTTATCTAGCATCTGTAGATGGATTTAGGTGGTTCCTATCTTGTGGCAATTTTTAATAGTTCTTGGTCTTTTGCTTTCAAGTATGTTGGGTAGTAACTATTTAGGAGTGTAAATGCTGGGTTTTATTATAGTTTTGAAAATATTTATATTTTTTTACAAATTCCCAGATTTTTCCACAGGCTCTGTATACTGTTTGTTTGACCAGCATGAGATAAGAATTTCAATTTCTTCACATTCTCTCTCATCAGTATGTATTGCTTATTGATTGTAGCCAACCTAGTGAGGGGAAAATTGTATGTCATTAAGGTTCTGATAGTTAATGATAACTGAGTATCTTTTTTAAAAGAATATTTTTATCTTCTGTTAGCTTGCATACAAAATTCATCTACATGTGTTTCACACATTCCTCTATTCACATTGTATTTCATACAATCATTGCTATACATTGCATTTTATAAAATTAGTCCCTGCTGATCCATGCCAATTATTACCCCGCATTTTCAGGTCCCTACTGGATCTTTCCTGATTCCTTTACCCCCTCCCTCAGCCCACCAAACTCTCTGACC